AAAAATAACAACTTTATACTTTTTTGTTTGATAAAAAGTGTGTTGGCTAAGAGATTGCACTTTGTGATCATCTTAAAAACTGGAGATTATATAATATACGTACATATATTTATATTCATATGCATAACGGCAAATATTCGTGTTGCATTGTCTCGTTATAAAAGGCAACAACAACAAAAGAAAAGAATAACATGTTCACTTGACAGTTGTGCAGTGTCACACGAAAAAACGCAGGCATAAGCGCGTCGTTAATTTCCTTTATCACTCATTCGTTTACAAATCATCGATAAAAAAAAAGAAAAAAAAGATTAGTAAACAAATTTTCTCTGATGTATTAATGCGCGATTGCTTACATAATCCTGTAGATTTGAAACAATTTTTTAAAAAAATTCCAAAGAAATAAATCGTCGGTTTAAGAGGTGCCCATACAATATGTAATTGTCTCAAACATATTTTCATATATTTTCTTTTTAAATATCGTATTCATATTTGCGACTTCTCACACGCGCATACTCCATTACTACTTTTTTTCTGTTTTACATGTTTACTCATTTCGTGCACGCACATTCAATATTTTAAATGACAGGAGGGCCACAAATGGTGCCAGGCACTATTTATTCAAAAAACCTGTGTACTCCATTAAGACTATACAGTTAAATTACATTTATGTAATTGTTTTACCTTTATTATTATCATTATTTCTTTTTTTATCTCAATTACTTTAACATATTCATCCATTGCAATTAAATGGCTTTAATCACTATTCGAATAATAATAAATAATTCACACGAGAGCAATTCTCACGAGGATATGTCTTCCGAAATAACGATAAGGATTATTAAGGCATAGAATTCAAGGCTCCAGAAAGAATCTCGGCACGTTATACGCATCCCGTTATTTTTATTAAATATATATATTTTTACGTAACATATATATATATATATATATATATGTTTACAAATACATTGCGCGCTCTGGTTTTATTATATCTCTTTCGGCTCTTAACTCAGTCACAATAATGTTCACATATTCGTCTCAGCCGTAATCGTGTTATTTCCAATTATCTTAGCTACATGTCACATATAATACAGATGTAATGTGCATTTTTATTATTTCTTTCCCATAAAATGTTATTTTTTTTCTTCTCTTGTATAATATGTATTGTTAAAGATTACCGGTGACATGTCGTTTCATTGTACACGCAATATTCAATATTTCGCGTATAAACAAGCCGCACGATGGCCGAGATAAATTGGTATTACAAATACTTTAAGAGCATCATAACGCTTAGTAGACATATTATTTTATTTGCTTCTCAACAAATATAATCCTTCAATGATGAAGTTATCGCGATGCGAGTTTCATGAAAAAATTTACGCGACTTATGTACAAATTAGAAAATTTAGTTACCATGCGTTTTATCATTTCTTTTTCTCTTATGTTTTCTTTATTAACGCGAGAATTGCTCGATTTTTTTTTTTAGAAAAATGTTTCGTATTTACTATGTTTATATATAGAATGTTAGCCAATATGCGAAACACTATTATTACATTCATCTTGTGCTCGCAGTTTTCACAGACATTCAGAAACTGACACATACTTGTGAGACAAGCCCTCGTTAAATGTCAAATTTTTGTTTACTTTAGGCATGAATGAGGTTTCAATGTAATCTTTATACGGATTTGTTTATCTTAAAAATTTTTTCGTCGTTCTTCATCTTTAATATCAAATGTGCAAAATACTCGTGAAAAATGTATGCAGACAGACGACCGTTTAACTTACTGAGAATCGCTTCTCAAATTGCACGAACGTAATATTCGGAGATCCAGAACTGCACTAATTCCACCATTAAATTTTTCTCAATAAATAGTCAATATAAAGAGTTGGACTGCACCATATAATCATTTAGATCTATTTTTCAATATATGCATTATTATATATACACAAACGCGCACACGCGTGTATATATATATATATATATATATATATATATATGTACGCGCGCGCGCGCGTGTTGGTTTGTGGCTTGTGCGTGTGTGCGTGTGTGCGTGAGCGCTTGGGGGTGCGCCGGGTATGTTTGTATGTGTGGTTGTATGACTGTATATGCGCGTGTAGTAATGTACCTAAGTGTAAATTTGTTCATTAAAACAATGCTATACAACATACGCCTAACTATCTATCAAATAATATTTCTTTTGTTTATAATATATTTAATTTCGAATCTTCTTCTCATATAATATGAATAATTTGAGTACAGTGGCCGACTTTCACGCATTTATGAGCAGACATAGACCGTTAATGTAACCCAGTAAAATTAAAAAAAAAAAAAAAAAAAAAAAAAAAAAAAAAAACTATCATTAGCATCACCACCATCATTATATTCACCATAATCGTACATGTGTGTGAGATCCTCATCGATTCATATACGAAGCGACAGATTTTTTTAAAAAGTATAATCATAAACATAAAATCAATGTATTCCTTGTCAATCTTAAAAAAAAGACAGATAAAGAAAGAAGTCAAATAAAAGTATGAATAATCATATATGATAATAATCGTTCGTTAATTAAAGAAAAAAAGACACGACTTAAATGACTAGATCGAGTACGCACAAATGTTGATATCCATTCGAATGGCAAATAAAAGGTATAATAATCATAATATAAGTAAACAAAATAAAAGAGGCGTGTGTTGATTGTTTATGCACATGAATACGCCTGCTATGCTGTTGCTGCTGCTGCTGCTCTGTCTATCTATCTGTAAGCCCGTGCGCGTGCGTGTCGTGTGTGCACGCACGCGTACGGTGCATGCGCGGGCGCGTATTAATTGCGTGCAGTTGTGTACGTGTGCGCGGGCGTATAGTCGATATTAACGGATTATGCTGCTCTTAGACCACCATACCAAGTACAACAAACACAACAATCGTGCGATAAGTGCGTGCACATTCGATTAGCTTCTTTGTTTCCTTGGCTAATTGTAATAAGAAAAGAAAGTTTCGCCGTTCGCGCACACTTAAAATTTTGTGCATTGTTCCTTTTACCACTTTGTTTAAAGCCATTCATTTTGCTCGTTCTCGTACGATGGTGTCGGTACAATATTTTATAAAATCTTTCTCCATATTTGTCCACCTTCATCGATCGTATTACAATTTCATCATCGTCATTACCATTGCACTCGGAGTGATCGTAAGGTCACGGAGCCTAATGAAATTACCTTCGCGAACTCACGTGACATATATACAAGCAACACCTCTTATTTATATACATTAAAAAATATACATACATACATACATATATAGGTATATGTGTATATATATTAATATACATATATACATATATACATATATATATATATATATATATATATATATATATATATATATATATATATATGTATATGTATATGTATATGTATATGTATATATATATATTAATTTTTATAAAGTTTCAACATTATGGCACCACTTATTTATCATCGTCGTCGTCATCATCCTTATCATCGTCATCACCATAATCATCATAATCATTACCACCGCCAACGTCATCATCATCTTTATAATCATAATTGTCATCAACTTGGCAATATCATATTATCATCAAACGTAAATCGCATTATTCGTTAGTCTGTCTTTACAACTCTTAGCTCAAAAATATTTAACAGATTAACAGATTATTCTTCTTATTCTTCTTCTTCTTCTTCTTCTTCTTCTGTTGCAATGTCCGTTGTCACTGTGCTTCTGCTTTTGCACCGACGTCGTCGCCCTCGAATGCAGCTGACTAAATTAACCGAACACTGGCGTGAGAGAGCGCGACGCTCGAAGGGAAGAGAAACAAAAGAATTACGCAGCTCATCTGTGTGCGTGCCGCGGTTTATCTATTTCTATATATGTGTAAACACACACACACCCACACACACACTAACGCGCACGCGCGCACACACATACACACATATAAGTTTGTTTTCTCTGTTATACAGGATATGCAGTGCTAGAGTAATGTCGCCTTTCCCCCTCGTTCTCACCCCTTCTCCCACGCTCTCTCGCGCATTTACACCCATTAACGCGCTCTCTTTTTCCCTCTTGCAAACACATATAGGCACACCACTCTTTTTTTCTTTCTCTCCCCTCCCCTCCTCCCCCTCTCTTTCTCTTTTTCCATCATTCTCTTTCAAGTATACGCACACACGCATACACGCACGCACGCACACACACACCTCGCCCCTTTCGTGTGAAATCTCGGTGTCAAATGTAAGACGCTGTCTCGCGTCCATGCTGTGGGGCCACCGACGTCGCATCTTCGCCATCCGTGTTGTCCTCGCCGTCGGCCTCCTTCACGCGGAGGGACGGACGTCGCCACCGCTATTTGACATCGGCGAGGCGGCTGGCATTCGGGGTACGCACCTGCGAAAATGAATTAATCGACACCGATTAGTCGAATCGAGCTTTTCAGATTCGATGAGACGAACGTTTTTACTCGAGACAAAACACATCATCACACGATCCGCCACATTGGAATCAACGTTTATGACGTTGATAACGTCATTGAAGCTACACTTACAAAATAACTCCAAAAGCTTTATTATTGCACATTTCGTGTAGTGAAGTGACATTATTATTATTCGAGCAATGATTGGCCATTGGGCTGGGCGCGGAGGTAAGATGCTCAAGTGTCCGAATCGATGAAATCACAATGCCTTTACTCGCCCTCTACGATCTCTTCATTATTATTTTTATTATTATAATGTGGCTGCAATGGTCCGATGCATCGACATTTCAAATTGGCTAACGCGGTCTATCATTAGCTTACGCGGTCGTGATAATAATAATAATCATATTAAAGAAGTTTACCATTAAGTCGCCCAGCCCTCGGTGATCCTCGAGCGCTTCATGAGCGGTCCGTTCTCGTAGTCACTGCCGCTACCGGGGTTCCCGGCTGTTCCGGGCCCGTGGCTCGTGCGCATGTCCCCGACGACGACGCCCCCACCACCGCCGCCAGCCTGCGTCCCCGGCGAGGGCATGTTCGTGGGCGTGATGCTGCCGGAGTGCGAGGGCGGCGGGTTGCTGCCGGGCCTGTTTACCGACACGAGATTCAGCGTCTGCGGGCCCCCGTGTTGCTGTTGTTGTTGCTGCTGTTGTTGTTGCTGCTGCTGTTGCTGCTGCTGCTGCTGCTGTTGCTGCTGTTGTTGTTGCTGCTGTTGCTGCTGCTGCTGCTGCTGCTGCTGCTGCTGGGTCACGTGGTGAGGCGGTGGCGGCGGCTGAGGCGAGGGTCCACCCACGTTCAGGCTCGCGTGACCTGCGCAAGGACGAGGCGGGGGGGTGCGGGGGGGGGGGGGGGGGGGGGGGGGGGGGAGCCCGATCGATCCGATTATTCGACGGTCGTTTCGGGCTGCGCCTGCATGGCCTTTCTCATTCTTTCGGTAATTACTATTTAACGATTCGTGTAATTAATTCGTTTTAATTGTGTAGCGCGGACTGGCTCGACATTAACGACCGCCGTTTCGCAATAACTGCTCCTACTTAGGTAAGAGTTTTGGTGACTCGAAACCCCGGGTCGTTACGAGCGAGCGTCGTCGTGTGGAAGTGAGCAGCGGAATTTTTTAATAGACGGTCTTTGATGAATAAATATATGATTGTTGACGTGACCGGTTGGCAATCCTAGATGGTAAAAGTCGCAGATTGCGGAGGTACTGACCGGGATGATGCAGACTGCCGGCGGATGCGCCACTGGGTCCGCCCACGGAGCCGTTAGTGCCGCCGCTGCCCGCGTGCGGGTCCCGGGGCGGACTTATCGGCTCGCTCTTGATCTTCACGGGGATCGGCGACGTCGAAGGTGGCGGTGTGCTGCTCGACACCGCCAGGTGAGGAAGACTGCTGCAATGGAAAATACGAGGATCGCCCGTTATTAGTTCATGCGTGTCTCGAAATCTGCCGGTCAAATGTCGCATAGCCGCGCATCGTTTGGGCTTAGCAGCGACCTATTAGTTCTAAAAGCCGTTATCACATTTCAAATAAGTTGCATGGATATTAAACATCTCGAGCTTTCATTATTCCGGGCGCGTAAATGACATTTTCAACCAGATAGTATAGGAACCTCGTAGCTAAAATATATTACCGCCTCGCGCCGCTCGAGCGTACTCTCTTCCTTTCTGTTGTGTCTTTCTTCAACGAATTCGTATTTGTACACTTACATGAACAATAAATAATAGCTTTCTAAAAAGTAGTAGTAACTTTTCAGTTTCAAAAATCGTAAGTTTTTTGTTTTGTTTTGTTTTGTTTTTGTTTTACCAAGATGTAATTTATATTTGATATGCTTACTTGCCATTCGACATAATAAATCATTAAAAGCATTCGGAATATTAGTGCTGTGATATATGAATGTGATGCGATGGTCGAATTGAATTTTAAACGTATGCAAGCTCGTGAGCATATCGATAGTTAGTCATATTAATGGCGGACTATAATACCTAATGAAGTAATAGTCGTAATAAGTAGTAGTTGTAGCATAATGTAGAAGCGGTAGTAGTGTTAGTGGTGGTGGTTGGTGGTGGTGGTGGTGGTAAGTAGTAGTAGTAGTAGTAGTAGTAGTAGTAAATGTTGCATGTCCTTAAGCGAGCGCTTTAAGTTTTACTTGGAAATTATGTCACAAGCGTGTATTTTTTAACGAGTTACAGATTGATTAAATTCGAAACCGCATGATGCAGTGAGATTATTAGGCATTGCAATAGGAAAAGACTATGGGCAATCCAGGGTGAACGGAGAGCTCGCCCGACGAAGTTGACGAATTCCTGGTTGGCTTTCGATGCAAACATCAATTGGAATATTTGCATCACTGTATCGCCACGAGTCCTCGGACACCGACAACTTATGTAGAAGAGTGCAAATGTGGAGGAGAAGGTGGAGGTGAACGATAACCGCAAGTGCACGAGGGTGAAAAAAAAAAAATATGAATAGGTATAGGGAGAGGAGGGGAAGACAAACTGGATTCATAGTTAATTTCTAACAACAATAATGAATGTGTTGAATGAGAATTACCTTATGCTGGACATGGTGGCGGCCGAATACATTGATAAGTCATCAACGTACCTCTGGTGGGACCAGGCGAGAGTACTGAGGTCCGACGAATAGTCCGTCGGCCCGAAGCCGGTGTAGCTCGCCGGGACCGTTGGCGTCTGCAGCGCCACCACCGGGGTGCTCAGCGTTGTCTGAGCGTGACCACCCTGAGATAAAAACAGAGCGCTCGTCTCATTTTCTACGTTCTAAACCTTCCCCCGTCCTCTTGCTCCCGCTATCCCACCCCCGTAACCTCGAATCCTCTCGGTACTTTGACTCACGGTTGTTGGGTCGTGAACGCGAATGATGAAGCCCTAGAACCTCGGGGTCGAGCTCTGATCCTCAGCCCACTCCGAGTATCAGAATTCGAGTTTTGGCAAACGGTTTTTTGCCAGATCTTTGGCCTGGACGGGATGGTTAATAGTTCATCGGGCTTCGGCCTCGAATTCTTTACCAAGCCAAACACGTCGTCCCAGAGGTTGCAAGAGGTTAGAGGTCGACTCGACGATGGCGTTTCGCGTTCGCACTCGGATCGCTAAGAGTTAATAAATACATCAAGTGGTGGAACTTACGTCGTAGTTGCCCTCCTCGGCGAGTGACTGGGCGAGAGGCGTGGGTATGACCACCCGTAGGTTGCCTCGGTGCGGATGCGGCGGCGGCGGCGGTTGAGGCGAGTGCCTCGACGGGTTACCCTTGGAAACGCCGAGGGCGGGTGATGGCCCCGGACTCGGGGAACCACCTAAGGGCGAGGCCGAGGGTGGGTAGCCGTTGCTCATCTCCAGCATGCCTCCCGGTGGATATACTACGCCGAGCAAACGAATTCTCATTCATTCGTTAATTCTCTCTCTCTCTCTCTCTCTCTCTCTCTCTCTCTCCATCTTAAGCACGCGGGCGCACACACTCCCTTTTGCCGTGCGGTCCATTCATACCTCCGAGAACTGCTTTTCCTTTCTTTCTTATCGAGAGGGAGGGATTTTCGTTAAGCTCAGCGCGGGAAGTTAAAAGTTTTCCGATGCGACACAGCTTCTCGCTCCAAGGCTTTTTATTAAGCTTTTACGATTAATTCGATACTCTTAGAGTTGCCAAAGTTCTTTATCGATACTAAACATTTTATTATACGGCATTTATACCGCCCCCGCCTATCCCCCCATCCCTCCCACTGACCCCTCCCACTTTCCTTTATTGAGGTTAATGCAAGCATCTCGCATAAGCCTCGAGGGGGATTAATAGCGCGATTCGTATTCTGAAAAAGCCGGTAATTACAGTATTAAAAAATTAGCGTTGAAAGGTTTTCTATTTTATCGCGAGCAATAAAAGAAGAGTAATAAATCACGAGTTAAGTGTTGAAAAGAGTGGGGAATTGCAATTAGTAAGGTCAACGTTGCCAGACACGATGCTTCAGTCAAATATGTTGCATTGCATGTCGAAAGCTCCGTTCGACGCTCCATAATTCAGCCACCCGAGCAAGCGAGATCCCAGCTACTACTACCCCCCCCCCCGCCCCCTCCCCGACCCCTCCCTCACTCATACACCGCCCGCCAAACCACTACCTCCGCACACTCCCGCGCACCCACATATTGACCGAATTTCCTTCGAATTCTCAGTTCGGCAATTCTCGGTCAAAAGAAAGTACAGCGTGAGAGTAGAGCGCAGGCATTCCAATCCAGCGTAAATGTCCCCAGGATACGCGGCTTACCTGAATCCGTTTCAGATGACGACGGCCTCGGAGAGATGCTGGTGTGTGCTATTTGCGGACTAGAGCCAAGCATTTGCTCCCCATAACTATTTACAGGCACGGTAACGGGCAATGTGTAATTGGATTGTCCCATACCCTGCAGCAGAAACGAGTCTTGCGTTAGCATCGAGAAGGAAGTGGAAGAAGACGAAGTTAAGAAGTTAATGATGATGAGGTTGAGGAAGGGGCGAGTGTTTTACGTGGTACCGAGGGACAGAGGAACGAGAGTGAGGTCAGTTGTTAATACGGCAAGACTGACCCTCGATCCATTGTGCTGATTCCTTATGAGCATCTGGAAGTCTTCGTCGATCTTGGCGTACTTGGCCTCGGTGCGGGGCGTCAAATTGTACTCCTGGGCGTCCGGCTCTGGGCTCTCCGGGGACATCGCGCCCTTATGCTCCTTCTTGTTGAGTGCCTGCAAGTGTCAGCAGACAGGTTCACGTGACCACACCGCCCGAGGGCACACAACCTTTCGCATGCAAACGTTAGCCTAGCGCACAGACACACGCATGCACGAGGTGGAGCCGCCCAGTGAACCGACTTCACACCCCACCTCCCTCATCCCAACCCTACCCCAACTACCAATCGCCCCGTTCCATCTATTCATCAGCTAACCGACCATAGCCTTTGCGCGGTGAGCTTTTCGTTACTTCACTGGCGCGCGTAAGCCGATTCGCGGTGGCTGAGCATTTTTCTTGCTTTACTACCGTGTCATCCCTTTGTTCTCCTTCTCACTTCAATCGCAGCCTATCAATAATAACGGAGAAAATGGCTAGTCGATTAACGATATCGCGAATTAGGCTTTTCCTTTCCCCGCGTGCCCTTACCCATCAACAAATCTATCGGCGTGATAATTTTTCCCCTACGCAACCCACGCATCGTTTCCCCAGACTGCGAATTTCCTTAAATACAACGTGAAAATTATCGCAAGGAATTTTTTTAAGGAATTTTTTTTTTTTTTTTTTTTTTTTTTTTTCACGCCAATCGAGCAAGGGACTCGCAACTAATATTAACATCATATCAAATTGAATATTTGACTCGGCAATTAATAATTCTCTTTAAATTGGCAAATGATATTGCCAAAGGAGACAAATGAGCGATGGGAAAGTGACGGCTCAATGTCGACTCGAGTAAATACGAATTAACTTGAAATAAAATAGAATTAAAAACATTTTCCTGCCCTCAAGTCTTACGCGTTTAGGACTTGTACTTTATATTTTATAATATTATGTGTAATATCTTGTGTGTAAATTCTACGGGTTGAAAAAAAAAGAAGCGAATTAAAGAGAGAAAGAAAAAATAAATGATTTACTGTTGACTAGCATTTATTTGGAAAAAATTTTTTTCAACCACAATATCAATAATAAGGCAATAGTTGGGTATATAAATTTCTCATTGTTGCGAAGTTATCGAGTAATTTTAAATTTTTTCTCAAATGAAACGATCGTTTGTCTGCCCCCTCAATTCCTTTGACAGTTTTCTCTGATTATATCACCGGCAATTTTGTACCAATTACGCTTATGTCGATGAAAAAGAAAAATAAAAAGAAGAGAAAATGAAAAAAAAAGAACACAAAAAACAGAAACAAAATACCAAATATCTATATTAACGTCAGCTGTACGAAACATCTCACTATTATCAGTTGGAAAGCATCGCGGTAAGTAGGCTCTTATCAACAATTGGTCACTTACACTTTCGTAAGTATTTATCAGTATATTTTGGTATAATAAATCGTCGCACGCAGACGAAATGCGCGAGTGTGTAAAACAGCGCACAGCACACGCTTACCGAGCCTATTGCGTTCTACGTGTTTTTCAACGTAAAAAGTCGGCTAGTCGATGACAATCGTCGACCAGCAGCCCAGTAAATAATGACTTCACCGAGTCCGTTTGCCGAAAAAAGATGAAGAAGAAAACGAAGGGCGGCGGAGGGGGAAAAAAAAGGTTTATTTAAATAATCGCAACGGGCATTATGTAAAAGAAGAAGAAAAAACAATCAAAAAAAAAAAAAAAAAAAAGAAAGAAAAAAAAAAGAAAAAAAAAAAGAAAGAAAAGAAGTCATGTGCAGAGTGAAGAAAATGGTTGGTTGAGCAGTCGCTCCTCGAGACTCGCACACATCCGTTCGCCGCGTAAACAAGAAAATATCAACTTATCGTTCGGATATTTTTTTTTCGTTCGAGAAGCTTACAATTCCCGTGCCGTAATCTCTCAACATTTATTCCACTTTTGCTCCGATAAAACGAAAGAGAGTGGAAAGACAAAAAAAAAAGAAAGAAAAAAAGAAGAAAAAAAAAGAAAAATAAAACAAAAACACTAAAAAAAGAAGAAAAAGAGCCCGAGCGCCCCCGATCCCTTTGAGAAAAGACCTCGACGGCACCCGCCACGAAAGGCAATTTTCTCTCGTCACCCGATCGTTCCCCCCTCGGGAAACTCTCTCACCCCACTCCCACGCGCAACGCATACGCACGAGCGCGCGCTCCCGTCATCATCGGGCAGTCGCGGCATCGCCGTCCCGGACAAGTCCACTCACCTCGATAATGTTTTTGTTGGTAAGCGACTCGTGTGGCTCGTTGTACTCGGTGTACTTGAGGAGGACCTTGTCCATGTCGGTGCTGGCGTACTGGTACAGCTTATTGCTCGAGCTGAATATAATCAGGGCGATCTCGCAGTCGCACAGGACGGACAGCTCGTACGCCTTCTTCATGACACCGAATTTTCGCTTGTTGAACGTCACCTGTGCAGCAATTTTTTCCAATCGTTAGCGCCAACCACTACCTTCGCTCTTCCCCATCACCTCCCCATTCCCTCCATCATTCCCACCCTATCCCCTTCCAATCATCACCCCACCCCATACTTTTAACAAAATCATAATATACATCGGCTCAGGCCCAACACGCATTTTGTGAACAAACTTCATTCGCGTATCCCCTATATAGTCATTAACGGGCTTGACAAATTGTCGAGCTGCTTGGGCCTTATCAGTCAATCCACCGAAGAATACAGTATTCTTCCACTTGGTAATTTACCGTCCTCTATAATAATGCAATTATGTGCGCCTACCTGACGATTCCGTTCGTCCGTAATCCGCGAGATTTGTATCTTTTTCCGACCCATTTTTGCGTCAGTTTTTGGATTAAGAGCTGCTCTGTCAAATCTCTGGATGGAATGTTATAAAGTCTGCAACAAAAAAGCAAATCGTTCGTGCGTTAATGGGATGGTGGCGTTGCCGTTGAATTTTTACGCTCATTACTATAAATGGCGCCGACGTGTGCGCATGCGAGCGCTATTTAACATCTGTTCGGCTATCAATGTAATATCGATTCAATTACTCGACCAACATTCAGATGGACACCTAATTAATATCTACGGAGCAAAGGCATTTTATCAATAATATAAGTCCCCCGTCCCGCTTCAAGCTCCTGCAATATTAACAAATGATTAATACTTGGCCTAATTCAATCCTTCTCCAGATTATTCATATTCCATAATATTTTGATCTCTTGGATCGTGGTGGCTTTTTAAGCCCATTCGATCACACGACGATATAACAAATTACGGTAAACCGTTTATATTGTGTTTTTGGCATAAATCGCACGTTTTTACCAGTGCACCATCCAGCTTCCGCTCCAATAACGCTCCAACGTTCATTATCGCTTATTTATATCGTTTTACTTGAAAAAGGTTCGAGGATTTTAAAAAACGGTGATTGTTTACCCTCCTCGTGTACGAGGCCATTATTTCCTAATATCGAGCGGGAAAATTTATTCAAAATTATTTTAATGGCAATCAAATGCAACGTGACGATAATTCATTGGAAAAGCATTTTTTTCGCCCCATTTAATTTAATTCGCTAGTTATATTTCGTGATGTGGTGGGTTTTGCGCGTTAGCGAGTGAGATTCTGTAATTTATCGTTCTTTCATTATACGATAATTTTCTCCCTTAATGTCCCTTGACTTTGCTGGCAAGCCCAGTGGGTAGCGGCGCATGCCCCGTTCTCGGGAACAAAATTCACGGTCTCTAGCGGCGCACCGACACACATGAAAATTAGCTTCTCGCTCGTTCTCGAGTCCCGTCACCTTTCATTCGCGAGCCGCCCTTTTCAAGACTAAAAAAGTCATTCCGTTCTCCACATTACTCGCTAAACCTCGACCTCTATCGCTCTCGCTCTCTCTCTCTCTCTCTCTCTCTCTCTCTCTCTCTCTCTCTCTCTCTCTTATTCGTCCACTTAACTTTACGAACATTAGCATTTGATTTGGAATGCGCCATTTGCCGCATTTTCAATCAACGTTAATCTTGACTGGAGCTAATTTAAAGCACCGGCGACCTATGTGTATCGCTGAACCGATCGAATATGCCTTATCGGTAATTATTTGAGGAGAGGCCGTGCGATCGGGAACTGGGAAGTCATTCCCCCACCCGAATAACTATGGGCAAAACAGACGGAGGGTGGGTATTAAAAAGAAGAAAAAAAATAAATAAATAAAAATAAAAAAAAAAAAAATAAAAAAAAATAAAAAAAATAAAAAATAAAAAAATATATAAAAACAAAAACAAAAACAGACAATAAGTACGCACGTGCGTTTTACATAGATAACGTAATATCGATTAAATGAAATGACGAGTAGAAGAGAGTAGGGAGGTTCGCAAGTACGTAATCTCTCGGGTATCGTTATCCAATCCTTCCTCCGCAGCTTCCTTCTTCACTCTTACGGACGAGTGATATTTTTGACTGCCGGCATGTTCGATGCAAACTGTGTCTAACATTGCAAAAGCATATCGCCGCGAGAGCCGCCGACATTAAATATGATTTTAGAGGCTTTGTATTTCCCGCGGCTGGCTCACGAGACGTGACGAACGGAGAGAGAGAGAGAGAGAGAGAACGAGAGATTTAAGCGATTCTAGGAAAAATTTTCAGTCGCCCCGGTTAAGGTTACGAATGGTGGATGACAAAGGGGGTTTGGGGAGTGACGTGGAGAGAGAGGGATGGTGGAAGTTATGAGAGAGTCATTATTGCGTGGAATGTGAGGAAAATTTCACGATTCGCGAATACCAAGCATTTCTTTGCTAACGGGACGCTCCGGGCTTTGATGGTACCGACTTTTGCATCGGACGAATACTGCCGAAACGTTGACTAAAGAATGAAGGAAAAATGCGAGCGATCAAGAGTAAGGTCGGCGATCGGAGAAATCCGCGACTGACTCACATCGTTTCCCGACTGGATAATTATCAGTTGGGTTGGTTAGTACATTGAATGCATGCATACAGAATGGAATTTCACGTATTCCCTAATCATTTCACTTTCTGTCCGTTACAAAATACCATTTTTCTTTATCTAATCAACGAATAATTAGTTGGGCCCACGAACGAGGCATTGCAATGTCGATTAGATGTTTGTCGCGCCCGCTAATGGGCATCAACATAAATTAAAGACTATTTATACCTGGCGTCTTCTATTTTTAAAGAATTTGTCTGTCTGTCTGTCTGTCTGTCTCTCTGCCTTGCTCTCCGATAAAGCCATAGACACCATTATATAGTTTTTCACGCAGTTTATAGTGGCTGCACTGCGATAAATGATTTTTTGACGAATATGTGAAGATTAAGAGCGGCGATTTATGCGTGAACATTGGCTGGTTAAAAAATTTGCTTATTATTAGAACGCGAAGCGCTATAAATATTCCCAAATGCAAGTTACGCTACGCCAGAGCGGCAAAACGACTAAAATCATCATCCCCGTGGAATTACATAATTGCGTCTCCTTCTCTTTCACCGACATCTCACATACGAGAGAGGAGTCACTGTCTGGATGAGATTGTCGCTCGTTGTTACGCTTATCTCGTTATCAGCGGGGCCAGAGTGTCTCGACTTGGCTTTGCGTGATTCGGCACGTGCGCGATCTCATGTGTGCGTAGGTTGTTGGCGTAAAGGGGGAAGTGATCGGGCGATCGATATTATTTGCGCGCGAATTAAAAGCCAAGCGATGATCATCGTTTAGTAGAACGGCGTTGCCGTAGTCGCCGCCACTGCAGCTGCCACCGCCACCGCCACCGCCACCGCCACCGCCACCGCCGCCGGGAGTGGCATTAATTTTCTTTTAACTAGCGTCTTACTCGAAAGCAAATGATAGAAGATAGCGCTAATTGAAATAACCGTGTGCTAATTGAGTGAACGCGCGCATGCGCCCCGTACAGGCGGGTTATTCTTTCCGCGAGCCGCGAGTTCGAAAACGAAAGGGTATACGCGTGGGCGCACTCGAATAATTCCATTCGGCAGTGGGATTTCTCAAGATCCTACGGGCTTTCCTGCCCTCGTAGCAATGCTTGAAAATGTAATTTTCAAAGAGCTTTTCCGGGATACGTGGCTTTGTTTGATAGGTCGCGCTTTGAGTGAAAGGTTAATCCGATGATTTCCACATTTTTTTTTTCTTCGTATTATTATCCGAACTAAAGTCGCTATCGAATTTTACCTTACTAAAACTCTTTAATCATTCGTTCATTCATTATTTATCATAGTTAAATTGGAAAATTGTAAATTAACATTAAGCTCTTTTCATGCACATATCAATCGTCATTTTATTTTTTTGTTTTGTTTTTAAATAATCGGGCAGCTTTGTCTTTTTCTCCATTCTTTGTCATTTTGTTGAGGAGGATGGTTAGGAAAAGTCTCGAAAGGTTGTTTGAACACGAAGAATTTTCAGTTTAAAAGTTTAATGCTGAGTAAAATAGAGCATTTGCTCGTAAACATTTAGCATCTTTTTTCAAAAAGCATAATAAAAAAATAGACATTAGGCATTGGAGCGTAACCGTGAAAACTTCACTATTATTCGATTGCTCTTCAAAATAAATTTTACCAAGTCGATAATTACGTTAGTTGTTATAAAGAAATTTTACGATTAGACGACGCAATCTCTATTAAGAATATGTAACGTTTAAACGTTAATTGCTCGATTAATTCGAACCAAAATAAGTATGAGAATACTTTTATCAAGAAAATAATAAACCAACCTATTAGCTCATTATCCCCAATATGTGAATAATTTTATTGTCATTGAATGAATAATAATTTATACTCCTTTTAGTTAAAGATGATGATATTTGACGAGATGACAGGAGCATTTATTTTCTTATAATAAAAATTAATCGAACGAACATATTTTGCTTTAAAAAAAAAGAGAGTCAATGATAATATTTTAATAATTTATTATACTAGTCAGAACAAAGTTTCTTATGGAAATAAAGGGAATCTTGTGAAGCGTTGAATTGGAAAGGATGAAAATACAATGAAAATTTCTTAATCTTCAATTCGTCGCATAACATGATAAGGATATAAAGTTTTATTTTGCATATGCCATAGGAATTACGAAATGGAAAATAATGTCAACGAGTGGCGTAAAAAAGACAGATTTTGTTATAACGCGATTGTTGGAACAAGTTGGTGGTTATCCTTTATCGTTGTATTTGCTTTAATCGTCTCGTTCGTGTGAAAGATAGGAAAGCCACTTCACGTGAAATACATCCGGAGTATCGCGGCTAATTCGTTTGTTAAGGGGAGTAAGTGAGGCGTCCAAGTGCTTTTTCTTCTTAATGCTTTCCCACTCATTGTTTCTGCATAGCCGAGGCAAATTGAATAAAACATTCTCGCGTTTTCATTAGCTTCGATTGATAATTGCATGGGCTAATATACACAAGCATTTTGGCGATATAATGCGCGACACAATGTTGAATCACTTGAGCCAATGATGCTCAGCATCTTTTTCTTTATCACGGATTCGTTAATTAACATAATGTTAAAATATCCGGCTCGAAGCCTTGGGCTCGACGTTGCACACGATGAGCACATTTTCAGGTGAGATTAATAGGATTTTTTCGGCTTCCCCACTGGCAACTATCAGAATATAAAGCACGGCTCTCTGAAGATAAATCAGTGCAAGTGGATACCTTAAAAGCGAATTAATTCGAATTAGGAGGAAATCGCTGGAATAGGACGCTGACGATTATCCGCGAAATCATCTAATGTAAACACTATTACGCCCAAATATCGTGAAAATCACAATTACATCTACAGATCGGTCTCTCATCTATCTGAATAAAAATGTCTACATTTGAGAATATTAGTGTATCCGTGATATTATTTACGCGACGTATTAACGCTGTTGTGAGGATCGTTAAAGAAAAATAA